CCCTCCCCGTGCCCCCCACAGGCTGCCCCCACCTACCCGGTTGATGAGCTCGCCCACCATGCCCGTCCAGGAGCCGTTGGGCTCGGGCGCCCCATAGAGCCCGTCCTCCACCAGCTTGATGTGGAAGCGGAACTTGAGGAGCCCGGCCAACTCCTGCAGCATGTCCACGCAGAAGCCCTCGTAGCGCTCGGGGCCGCCCGCGCCCCCCACCCGCATCACGTAGGGGTTCTCCTGCGGAGGGTGGGGGGACACGACAGGGAGGAGTCAGGGGTGGGGGGACGTGGCTGGGCAGCGGTGGAGAACCCAAGGGGGAACCCCACGGAGATGCCTCCATGGGATCTCAATGGAGAACCCGGTGGAGAACCCAATGGGGAACCTGATGCAGAACCCAATGGGGAACCTGATGGAGAACCCAAGGGGGAACCCTGTGGAGATGTCCCAGTGGAGATACCCCTATGAGATCCCCATGGAGATCCCAAAGGAGAACCCAACGGGGAATGTGACAGAGAACCCAATGGGACCCCAAAGGAGATCCCAAAGGGGACACCCCAAGGGAACTCTAAATGGACCCCAAATGGAGACCCTGACCCCCTCCAAGGTGGTGGCAATGGAGATGCCAACAGGGACACCCCAACGGGAACCCGAGGGGACCCCAACTGGAGACACCCCAAGGGGGACACCCCAAGAGGAACCCAAGGAAACCCCAACTGGAGACAACCCAAGGGGGACACCCCAAGAGGAACCCAAGGAGACCCCAACTGGAGACAACCCAAGGGGGACACCCCAAGAGGAACCCAAGGAGACCCCAACTGGAGACATCCCAAGGGGGACACCCCAAGAGGAACCCAAGGAGACCCCAACTGGAGACATCCCAAGGGGGACACCCCAAGAGGAACCCAAGGAGACCCCAACTGGAGACAACCCAAGGGGGACACCCCAAGAGGAACCCAAGGAGACCCCAACTGGAGACAACCCAAGGGGGACACCCCAAGAGGAACCCAAGGAGACCCCAACTGGAGACAACCCAAGGGGGACACCCCAAGAGGAACCCAAGGAGACCCCAACTGGAGACAACCCAAGGGGGACACCCCAAGAGGAACCCAAGGAGACCCCAACTGGAGACACCCCAACAGGGACACCCCAAGAGGAACCCAAGGAGACCCCAGATGAAGACCCCGAGGGGGTGTCGATGGTCAATGGGGGACACCCCTCCCCCCTCACCAAGATGGTGGTGATGATGAGGGTCTTGTTGGCCAGGCTGTCGGAGGCGTTGATGGCCAAGGTGGTGGCGTTCATGGCCAGCGTCCGGTTGGAGTACCACACGCCCACCTGGGGGGCACGGAGCTCAGTTGTGGGGCACGGAGCTCAGTTATGGGGCAGGGAGATCAGTTGTGGGGCACGGAGCTCAGTTGTGGGGC